CGAAATGAAAATGTACCAGTGGAAGCAGTTGTACAGCCAGAAGAAAACAGGAAGAAAGCTGCAGATAGCGTTTTAAAACAGCTTAAGTGTTTGCTGAAAAATAACAAGCCGCCGTTTGACTGGGATGGAGGTTACTACAGCCCACAGGGTGCCAGGGATGAAAACAACTGAGCCTACTAAGTTCCGCATTCATCAAGGTTATAACTTTTTTAAAATATTAACTGTTTAAAAACTAATTTTTATGGTACATATTGTTATCCTGCCTTATGCCACCCTCTGTCAGAAGCTCTTTTAAGCAAAAACTGCAACACAAAGAGTTTGGTGTTAAAGAGGGGATATCCATCCATCCACTATTGTTACCGCTTATCCCCTAACGGGGTTCTCCCCGGGACTCCAACCCAGAACCCTCTGGTCCTGGTTCTCCAACCCAGAACCCTCTGGTCCTGGTTCCCCTGGGACTAGAACCCAGAACCCTCTGGTCCTGGTTCCCCCGGGACTTCAACCCAGAACCCTCTGGTCCTGGTTCCCCTGGGACAAGAACCCAGAACCCTCTGGTCCTGGTTCCCCCGGGACTAGAACCCAGAACCCCCTGGTCCCGGTTCCCCCGGGACTTCAACCCAGAACCCTCTGGTCCCGGTTCCCCCGGGACTCAAACCCAGAACCCTCTGGTCCTGGTTCCCCCGGGGACTCCAACCCAGAACCCTCTGGTCCTGGTTCCCCCGGGACTAGAACCCAGAACCCTCTGGCTGTGAGGTGATGGTTCTAACACCACACCACCGTGCCGCCACGTTTTAATTTATTTATATGGAATCATAATGAAAAGGTAAAGAGGGATGTGTTGTTTGGACCAAAATCTTTTTCAACTGTAAACATGTATTACAAGTTCCAATAAAGATTTCTTACTTTAAACATTGTCGTTTTATATACTGGTATATACTGGTATATATATATATATATATATATATATATATATTTGTTTCAGTCATTAACTGAATGATCACATCAAAGATTTAAGTAGCTTCACTGTCATATGAGAAAATGAAAGACGTAATACACCCAGTGGAGGAAAAGCAGGGGGGGGCTCCACTGCAGGCCCATTAAACGAACCTCTTTGGAAGTTTTTTAAACTTTGTAATAATTGATAGAATTTGAACAATAGGACACAGGCCTGGGTCATATTTTCTGTTAGTTAAAGCACAGACTCTTTTCTCTCAGATCTGCTGAAAACCTCCCTGACAAAAGAAGAAGCAAAGCAAAGTCTCTGTTCTTTAGTGCTGCCAATAACGTGGGGAAACACACTCTGCTGTAATTGGCTTGGACCAAATAAATAAATGGAGGCGAAAAAGTCAAACTAACCTTTCTAAAGTCAGTCAAAAACACAAAGCATTAACTCTCTGAGACACTCATCACATTTACAACTTCTGGATTGAATTTAGATTAAAACATTACAAAAAACCCCACCCTGAAAGTTAGCATTTCCTAGATACAGGCATTTCTGAGGTTTACCTCGTTACTGTTACTGATGCAGTTTGCAGATGTGTCATTTAAGTTTACACTGTCGTCCCTATAATCTGCCCTCACGGAACGAGAGCATTTGGAAATATCAGAACTATTCTGACCCTGACCTCTTGCATCTGTTTTACATCCTGCTTCTAAGCAAACTTCCCAGAAAACACGCGGATATAACGCGTACGAATACGTGTTACAGCCTTCCTGACTAACTGCTGGGACCCTGAATGCAACACGGGAGGGGGCGTGGCTTCACGTCAAATAGAACAAAAAGGACAACGAAGTTTCTCGTGAGGGGAAACTAACTGCCTAATGTCGTTTTGTTTTAGTTCATTTCAGTTTTTTGTTTTTGTCTTATTTATGTCCATGCGTTAGTTCTTATTACCAATCTGTTATAATATACAGTTATACATGTTTCCTGTTTTGTTTTGTAGTCCTTGCTGTCTGGTCCCTGTGTGGCTTTCCCACTTGCTTTCTGTTGATTTCCTGACTCCTCCCTGATCACCTCCACCTGTGTCTCATTGTTTCCTTCCCTGTCTGGTGTTTTTATTCCCCAGTCAGTCTCTTGTTCGTTGCGTGTTCGTACTTGTCTTTTTGTCAGTCGTCCAAGCGTTCCTATTCTCGTCTTGCCTCGTATTCCTGACCTTTGCCTGCCTGTTCTTGACCTCCGTTTTTGCCTGCCGTTTTTGTACCTTTCCCTGCTCATCAGAGGTGGGGACTCCAGTCACATGACTTGGACTCGAGTCAGACTCGAGTCGTTAAAAGCACGACTTGAGACTTGACTTGAAAAAATGCTCAAAGACTCGGACTTGACTTTGACTTT